TATATATATATATTAACCATATACATATACATAACAAATATATATATATATATATATATGAATTTGAATATGTATATATATTAATGTTATATGATATCAGAAGTTTAACTTGGAGGAGTTGGAAGAGTTCTAATTAGAACTCTAGGGTTAAGGAGGATTGAGCTGGAGCAGTGGAATGATGGGTGACCTACTGGGAAGTGAGTTTCGGGATCTTGGTTGGATCGGGTTGGTGTCGATGTCGGTGTCGGGTCGGGGTCGGGGTCGGGTCGGGTCGGGAATATGTTTCGAATTTTTCGTTGGAAAATTCCAACGGAATGCGGTTGAAAATTCCGTTGGAAAATTCCAACGGATATCGGTTGGAAATTCCGTTGGAAAATTCCAACGGATTGCGGTTGAAAATTCCGTTGGAATTTTCCAACCGAAATTGCGGTTAGAAATCCGTTGGAAAATTCCAACGGAGGCCGGTTGGAAATCCGTTGGAAATTTCCAACGGAAAAATTCGTTGCAATTCCGTTGAAAATTCCAACGGTTTTCCAACGGACACCGATTTCTAACGACGAAATTCCAACGGATAAATCCGTTGGAAATCCGTTAGAAACGTTAATTTCCAACGGAAATTTGGCCATTTCCAACGGATTTACCCGTTGGAAATGACCATTTTTTTTGTAGTGTGCGGAGGCATTGAGTCCGAGGAAGCTGTAGTATTGGATGGAGAAGACGACTGAATGTGGTCTAATGAATCATCTTTGCTGATCGGATTTGTCTGCCCTTTACCTGGCAAATTAGACTGTGTAATCATAGTTGGCATGTTAGTGTGCTCTGATGGCCGCATGGTTGCAGCATCTGGAAAATATCAATGGTTTGGGAAGTGGGAGGAGCCAAGTGGGCGCTTGAAGGCTTTGACTGCTGCTGCTGGGGAGATACATGAGGAGGATCAGCTTTGCGAACATCTTTATCTGGAGGATCAGAATCAACAGGGTCGTGCCTACGATTCATCAGATAACTAGAGGCCTTGTGGTCGAACTCATTACAAGAAGTACATCAGGGGGAAGCCAAGCGTAAGTAGCTTTGACAATAACAACACGACCTTGTTCATCCTCCACCTCAATGCAATTCGGAAGCGGAGCACTAAGCTGAACTTCAATTTTGACACGAGCCTGGCCGACGCTAAGAGGGTCCAACTGAATTCGTTCGGTGTTTAGCTGGAATATCCGAAAGTGTGACCCAAATCGGGGCGGAAGTTAAAGCCGACTCAATAGTGAACATCGTGTCTGCCACACGCCAAATGCCCACTTCCAATATTCATTCCCTAGTTGCTAAATCAACCACATGGATCAAGCAAGTGGTGTCACTTACTCGCCACACATGAATGTGGGACTCGTGACCCCAAATAGGATTCAATGCCTGGAAGATTTTGGATCCTGACGGAGCTATCTCCAAAACATTTACGACTAGATATCCTTTCAAGGATTGGGATGTCTCGACCAGAACCGAGCTGGGAACACAGACTCATGGCTTCCCTTCCAAAGAAATGGTTGGAGTTGTGATCCTTCTGAGGTTTCTTGAAGCCGGCTTTAACCGTTTAGCCCACTGGTATTGGGGAGCAGATAAGGGAGTCGAGGATGTCGTGGCATTGCTGGAATCGCCACCACAAGGCTCGAAGGCACACAGACAGCAGCCACATAAACTGTGTAGAGGTAACAGCTAAGGGACCCCGACTTAGAGGAGGAAATCCGAGTGACAGAGCTTCGGAGGTTGAGCAATACCTTGGGTGGAAGTAGTGGCTTCTGTGCGAAGAGGAGGGGTTGAATCTGGAAGAGTTGGTGGAACAACACTAGTGGAGACAATAACATGATTTTCCGGCGATATAACCGTCGGATCTGGAACAGGGGATGGAAGCGATGTCAGGGACTGTGGGGAATGCGAGTGATTCTTCTTCTTCTTGGTCATTTCTGACGGTGGGGAAAGCGAGTGATTCTTCTTCTTCTTGACATTTGGACTGGATCTAAGGGCGGCTAGCTTCCACCAGCCGGCGGAGCTCACGCCAGGGCACGCCAATGTAGGGCTAGCCAGTGGCGACTAGGGTTACCTTCTTTTCTTTTTTCTTTCTTTTTCTCTTTCTAATTAGAGAAAATGCCTAAAAAATGGTTCTTTGTTCAATATAGTATGCAAATAGGTATTGAAATATTCTAAATGGCTGAATAAGTATTGATCTCGGACATAAAAGAACAAAACATATGACCTAATTCAAGATTTTTTTTTTGGTTTAAAGAAGGCAGTTAAATATGCATCGAAATCTCGAAAGAATTATTCAAATATGAACTTCGTAATGTGAATGAAAATCTGACATTGGATGACCATGAGCTTTGTTTGATCGATATTTCCTAAGACGCCGACTATAAGGATAAATTCAGTCTTATACTGAGTTGAACACGCTCGTCATCATGACATATAAGCGAATTACCTAAAAAACCAGCAAAATTTATATTTCAATTATTTAACCATTCTTATTCATTTAACCACATTTCACTTCTTGTCGGTTCCACAAACATAACCTTTTACTGAAAAAATTCGTATCCAAAAAACCGAGAATCTCTTAGATGACTTTTTTCTACAATCGAATTTTTTGGATCAAAGTTCAAACTAATCTCAAAATCGAGAGCTAACTCGAATTTATGGCGGAATAAACGGTTCGAATTGACAGCGAAATAGATACTCTGCGTCTCATCTCACCGATTGAACTATCAAAGTCTGGGTAAATTCTTTTAAAAAATATTCGAAAACTTAAAAAAATAAGGAAAGGGTATGTAACTGATTTTAACCAAAAATGAAAATAGAGAGAAATGTAACCGAACCCTGGCTAGAACATAAGCAAGAGCAGAGCCGGCAACACCAGCCCCGACAATGATGACGTCAGCACCGTCTCCCTTTTCCGTCTCCGTCTCCGTCTCCGTCTCCTCCGTGTTCTTCTTCTTCTTCATGGCCACGTGAAACACCGTCCACGTCAGCATGACGGCCAACAACGTCCAGGCCCAGATGTACGTCGGTGATAACGCCGTTAATGTCTTTCCTATCGACATATCTTCCCACCCTTTTCTCTTTGTATTTTTTTCTTTGGTAGTAAGATAGCGCTGTAGTTTTATTCAGAATTCCAAGAAGAAGCCCGTGTGTGTATATATATAGCGGAAGATAATTTATTATAGGTATATATGCATAATAAATTATTTATTCAAATTTAATTATGTTGTCTATATATTTTCCATTTTTTCTTTTTCTTTAATGAGCTGATTTTTTTATTTGCCATTGACAACAGTAAACAAAAAAAAAACAAGGATGATTTGTGTGGTTTAGATAAGATGTTGTGGATCACCGAGATAGGGTCTTGGATATATAAATAAATTTTTACAAGAAGAAAATATCATAAAATCTGTTAGTAGTGTACATGTACACTCGTATGTGTACATACGTATAAACATATCTATACACACTTTTATCAAAAAAAAATTATCTATACACACCACATTTGTCTATGTATTGTGATTGTGGTAGTTGTTCCCACTTCTAGGAAGATTTAATTTTGTTTATATATATATATATAGTTGCGAATTCAGAAACTTTTTCACCAAAGACACAAAATATATAAAAAATAAAAAAAATTTAAAAATATATCATGACAAAAATCTTTTTCGTTCTACAATTAAATTCTACGATCTTTTATGTTTTGAAATCTATCAATAACAACTTCATTTATAATGTTTGAAATATATGGTTGCTCAAAACTTTCTTCACAAAGTTCATCGTTTAAAAACAACTTTCAAAGTCGCGGTGACAATGGACAAAATCAAAATTAACTTCAAAAGTCTATATACAAATAGATATGAAAGATGTTTCTTTGTTTCCACCATTATACGATCAAGATCTCTAATATTCGTCAAATTAGAAAACATGTTATCTTCCATCAAATTGTCAATAATCAATATAGATACTGAGATTCTTACTCCAAAGAATAGAAGTCATCGAGATAAATTTCAGCCAATTTTACCAAATTTGATATGTTAAACCCTAGAAATGAGTCAACAAAACTCAAAGTTGTCATACTGATTTTACCGCTATATTGAGATATAGATATAAAATTTCTTTTCAAAAATTTATATATTGGTTTTTGTGTCAAATCAAACACGAGATCAAATAAATTTATATCAGAACATATTTTTTAATATGATAAATATATAAAAATAAATAAAAAAATTATAAAAAGTTATTTAAATAAAAATCAAAATGCTTAAATACCTTTTGTTAATCTTTGTTTTTGGGATTTATGATTGAATGTATGGTTTTTTTATTTGATAAAAAAGAGAAAGAGAAGTTTGAAAATCTAAAAGAATAAAAAACAGAATTGAGAAAGTGAAAACGTAAAAGAAATTAGGGTAAAAAAATGGGACACCACATGAATTAGGATTCGGGTATGGGTGTAATTTTATTTAAATTAAGGAAAAAAACATATAAATACCTAAATTTTTATGAAAATCCAATATAAATACCTGAACTATAAAACTTCCATATAAATACTCGAACCTTTAAAAATCCTATATAAATACCTATATTTTTGAAAATTTTCCAAATAAATACAAATTTAAGATATTTCAAATAAAAATAGGTGATATAACATGTTGATTTCTCATCCACTCTTTCATTGTTCTGTCATCATTAACATGATATTTATTTTTTTTATGAGGGTGGGGACACAACTAGGAATGGACACGGGTTAGGTATTCAAAAATTTGAGGATATCTGAACCCGAATCTGAATGCTTCGGGTTATTGATTTTATTATCCCAACTCATATGTGTAAAATCGGGTATCCGAATTTAAAAACCCGTGAGATAATTATCGGGTATTCGCGAGTATCCGAACTCAAATATTTTTAATTATTTTTTATCAAATTTTTAAATATATTTCTATATGCATATTCAAAATCATTAAAAATCAATTTAAATCATATTTATATCCAAAATAAACTCAATTTTCTTTAAAATCATAAATATATCCAATAATATATATATCTATATAATCATTATTATCAATAACAAAAAATAAAATCTAATATAAATTCTAAAATTTAAAAGGTAATTTTGTATTATCCGGTCTAATATCATTACCCGATCTCGTATCTCATTTTCTTAAATACCCGAAATTTTGGATATCCGACCCACGGATCGGGTCGGATACCCGAAATCTGGATTTTTTTTGCTCACCCTAGACACGACACTCCATTTAATTGGGTCCACCCTTATATATATATATATAGCTTAAAAATACGAATTTTCGAAAAATATATATTTAAATAAATGAATTTGAAATTTTTATCAAAATGAACTTTTCAAATATTACCATAAATCTACTAACCTTGTTACACGATTAAAGAATTTAATAACATGTAGACAAAAAATATCACACCACTGAATTTCAATATATATATATATATATATATATATATATATGAATATACATAAATTTATATACATGTTTATATACATTCACATATATATTCTTATATACTTGTATAAACATATATAAATACATATATATATATATATATTAACATTACGTTTATATATATATGCATTTATATATATAAATATACATAATACGCATATATACATGTATTTTTTTGGTAAAGGTTGTTGTATTCTATATTGAAAAAATTTTATATACAAAGAAGGTTTTGGTCAATGCAACATTAATAAGGTAAAGACCAAAAAGTTGGATAGTGACTTAGCAAAGGAAGGGTTAAAGATGTCTAGAAAACCACAGCCTCAAAAGAGGTAAGATCTTTAGCTCGAGAAAAACGTGATTGTGTATCCTTGAGTTTCTTTTTTTCTACAACGGATAGATTAGGGATAGATACGGATCGGGTATCCAGAAATTTGAGGATACCCGAAGCTGAATCCGAATGTCTCGGATTATGTAATTTATTATTCGAACTCGTACTCGTAAAGCCGGGTACCCGAATTTAAAAACCCGTGAGGTAATTATTGGATATCCGCAGTATCCGAACCTGAATATTTGTAACTATTTTCAATCAATTTTTTAAAATTTACTTATATATACATATTCAAAATCATTCAAAATAAATTTAAATTGTATTTATATCGAAAATAAATTTATTTTTTTAAAAATACATCATAAATATATCCAATAATATCTATATAATTGATAACTCCTATTTTTCTCTATATTTTGATAAGAGTTTGTCTAGGTTTTTACGGGATAATCACATATATTCATAGAAATTCTAGGCGTGTTAGGACACAAGATCCGGTCGTGCTTTAGTTTTGCAGAGTTACAGGTTTCGAAGATAATTGGATGTGAAAAGGAACGTTTTTGGAGCGTTAGAGATGAAGTTCGGATGAGGTACTCGTGCTTCGAGATCAATAACGTTCTCTACAGAAGTCCAAATCATGCGAGACTTGCATCATTGGAAAGATCCTTTCAATAGCTTCGCGTACACACCAAAATCAGGCAAATCCGATATCAGAGCTGAAAATTATGAGCAAAATCGCGAAGCCTGAGAAATCTGCCAGAAAGTGAAACCGGTCCGGTTCCATATGGAACCGGCCGGTTCAAGAGGTCCGAGTTCACTTATTTTGGGCCGGTTCAATTGTCCAGAAGGCCAAGAAACAGAAGGTGGAACCGGTCCGGTTCCATATGGAACCGGACCCGACGGAGAAAAACCCTAATTCGCGATTTTTAGAGTCCTAAAGGGAAGAGGACTCTTAGGAGCCACTCTACGGTTATAAAAAAGGCCTAGCCATGTCTTAGAAGAGAGGAGAGCCTTAGAGAGCCTTAGATACAGACTTTTGGAGAGCTTTTGGTGAGAGAAGAATAGAAGTTCACGGGATTTCGGGAAGAAGAAGGAAGATTCGATCGTGGAGACTACACATCTACATGAGCTTTTCTCTCCTCTCTTTTATCTCTTTTCTTTTGAGCTTTTTGTTGTTTTCCATGAACCGTGAGTAGATCCATGGCTGTGGGTTAGAGATTCGTTTGTGTTTTGGGTATGCTTGATCCCTAACTTGGATTTCAACATTACGCTTGTTTCGGTTTTATCGATTTGTGTTTTCTTGCCTATTGGTGTTTGCTGATCACTTGGCCAATTGTTTTAGATTCTGAATCACATAGGAATATGAGTTTGGTTTCGGATCAAAATCGATAGAATGAATCGTATTATTCACATAGGAATATGGTTGGATCGATCTAGAATTGATGATAGTGTTCTTCATGCATCTAGGGTTAACTTGAATAGATCGAAAGATTGACGAGTTACTCTGTAGATAGGGAGTTAGTAGACCGGGAGGTGAATTCTCTATTCTTGTTGCTTGATGATTCCCGAATACAAGTACGATATCGTTATTCTCGCATGCTTAGTAAATACCCAAACACGCGAATACGATCCCAACACCCGTAGTCATCCTTGCTTGCTAGTTTACACGTTTTTATTGCTTTATTTCCTTATTTTCTATTCTTTCCATATACTTCTACCATCACTTCTACTTGCTTGCTTCGATTTAGTTTCGATTAGGATTTAGACTTAGCTACCGGTCCTTGCGTTCGACCCCGTGTTACGACGATCCGTATCCTTGCGGTGAGTTGTGAATCGGGTTATAGATTTTAGACTCCGTACACACGTATCAATAATCATTAATATCAAATAAAATAACACAAAATCTAATAAAAAACATAAAATTTAAAGGATAATTTTTTATTATACGGGTACCCATAGGTACTTTGAGATAATATTAATTACCCGAACCTGAATCCGAAAATTCGGGTATCCGATCTACGGGTCGGGTCGGGTCGGATATCCAAAATTCGAATTTTTTTGCCCACCCTTAGTATGGATAGTTAATTGCCTGAAGATTTGGGTCACCCATCGCAGGTTTGGATTGGACCAAGTATTCAACAACCCACTGATAACATGATGCCATTGAAAGGAAACAATCTGTATACCAATACGATGCAAATATATTCTGACGCCCCGATGCCGTTATGGAATGATAGAACTATCCTCACACACCAACACGTGATCTTTTAGCATATTTTGTCCTCACTCACACATATCTCGAAAAGTACTTTCCACGAGATCACATATCCTAAGACT